GCCTTTGGGTCACCCATCATGGCTTCACATCTGGTGGGTGCAGATAGCAAGCCCTGGCTGCATGCAAAGCTCGGAGCGTCATCCCATTTCACTGTCCCAACAGTCCTGCAAGGTCCATGTTGTAATGACACCCAGTTTTTTGGTTGAGGAGGCTCAGAGAGGCTAAGGGACAGGTGCACGGCCACACCACGGGGCAGAGGCGGAGCTGGGATCAATTTGTTCTTGGAGTCTGTCTTAGTCTGTCTGTGCTGCTGTGACTGAATACGTGAGACTGGGTAATTTATAAATTATAGACATTTATTGCTCATAGTTCTGGAGGCTGGGAAGTCCAAGATCAAGGCACCAGCAGCAGCTTGGGTTCCAGTGAGGGTCCCATCTTTGCTTTTTTGTTGTTTGTTTGTTTGTGGAGACTGAGTCTTGCTTTCTCACCCAGGCTGGAGTGCAATGGTGTAATCTTGGTTCACTGCAACCTCTCCCTCCTGGGTTCAAGCAATGCTTATGCCTCAGCCTCCAAGTGGCTGGGATTACAGGCACATGCCATGGCTAATTTTCGTATTTTTAGTAAAGATGGGGTTTCACCATGTTGGCCAGGCTGGTCTTGAACTCCTGACCTCAAATGATCCACCCACCTCTGCCTCCCAAAGTGCTGGGATTATAGGCATGAGCCACTGCACCTGGCCCCCATATTTGTCTTTAAGTTTCCACCTTGAACGCTGCAACTCCCAGAGGGGATGCATGTTGCATCCTCATGTGGCAGAAGTACAAAAAGGGGCTGAATGTTGGGTTCCTCCAGCCCTCTTACAGGATCAATAATTCATTCGGGGGGGTCTGCCCCCATGAATTAATCATCTCCTAGAGTCCTCACCTTTTAATACGATCACATTGGCAACTGAGTTTCAGCATATGAATTTTGGGGGTGGACACAGACATTCAAACCGTAGCATGGTCTTCACCACTCTGTGCTGCTATCTGTTGAGTGATAGCCGTGTGCGGGCAGCGTGCAGGCACAGGCACCATCTCATCTCAACACCTCAACAGCCTCTAGGGCAAGCAATATCTCCGGCTTACACATGGGGAGGAGAAGCAGTTTTGACTCACGTGTTTGCAGTCACAGAGCTGGGGACAGCACAGTCACTTTGTGCGTCTCTCACTGCCTCCTGCACGCTTTCATAATCCCAGACATGGGATGGCCCTGGGGCTCTCTGCCCTGTAGCTGGGGTACTGACCGGGCACTTTCCCACCCTCCCATCCCTGGTGCCACCTCCATGCCATTCGGGGGCTGCTGTTGCCTCCCCAAGTTTGGAAACAAGCTCTGTCCTTTGGTAGCTTTGAACCTGGCTAGGAATGGCAGCTCCTCTCCAAATTCCTAGCACCCTGAGAAAGAACCATGAGGGTACAGACTCAGAGATGACACAGCTATTTAGAGGCTCTGTGTTGAGGTTTTGCCAAAATCAGTCCTGTTTTCTCCATCAAATGCTGGAACTAGCTCCTTTGCACCCCACTGACAAGTCCTGTGTGTCTCCCTGAGGAAAGCCCCCTCTAGAGCAAGATTTATTTCCATGACTCAGACCCCTTGGTAGCCACTGCCTGGAGAGCTGTGTTGAGAAGCATTCTGAGGTCATGCCTAGGGGAAAGAGTGCTGTGATCCATTAGCAATGTCTGCCATGTGTGCGGCTATGAAAAACTAGCACAGACTAGGTTTTTCCTTCCCTGGGTGAGTGTCTCAGCAGCCCAGACCAACAGAGACGAGAGATGTGGTCTATTCTTGGAGCCTCAGTGTTCTCACCTCCACAGTGGACTAAAGGATGTTTCCGGACACAGTATTCTTTGCTCCAAATATAGGTTCTGTCCTCGACTGAGACCCAAGAAGGGAACCTACCACCACCATCACCTCATGGGTCTTCATTAGTCAAGGGAAAATAGGAAAAAGCCACCGAAAACGAACCCACTTATAAAGGGGAACAAGGCCAGGCATAACGGCTCAATCTTATAATCCCAGCACTTTGGGAGACCGAGGCAGGTGGATCGCTTGAGCTCCAGAGATTGAGACCAGCCTGGGCAACATGGTGAAACCCCGTCTCTACGAAAACACAAAAATTATCCAGGCATGGTGTCGCACAACGGTAGTCTCAGCTACTCAGGAAGCTGAAGTGGGAGGATTGCTTGAGCCCAGGAGGTGGAGGCTGCTGTGAGCTGAGATCACACCACTGCACTTCAGTCTGGACAACAGAGCAAGAGATCCTATCTCAAAAAAAGAGATGGGCAGTACAAGTTTCTAGTAAATAGCAGCAAAAAATAGTGGAAATGGCACTCAAATATACAAAACAAAACTACAAATTATTCCATTGATTTTGTCCAACATTTAACAAAATTTAGATGATGATCGCACCTCTGTTTTAGGACACAGTGAAACAATTAATGTTTGGGGAGCAGGATGGAAAGGTGTTAAATCTTCCAACAAAATTGCCTCATAGGGCAATATCTTGATGACTTCTTGGTGGCGGTGGCGGTGGCGGTGGCATTTTTGGCTGCAGGATCACGCAGCCCTTTCTGCAAAAGTGTCTGAGGGCTTCTTAATTCTCTCACGATTTCCTGCTCCTTGAAGCACCTTCCTGAATCTCTGAGAGAGCGTGTCCTGTGGAGCCAAATTCTGTAGAGCCGAGGCCTCTTCCTTTCAGGGTTTTGGGACATTTTCAGTATAGCTGTCCTTGACTCCATGAGGTCCTGACCCTCTTGGGGTGTGTGGGTGTGCGCTGGCTGGGTTCCTACCACATCCGGGGCATTTAGGATATTGCCATTCTGAGTGGGAGCTTGGCCAGGAGGGACACAGACCTGGTGGCCAGGCGCAGGGCTCTGGGGGAGGGTGCTGAGCTGGGGACCAGCTAGTTTTATATTATTTGCCATCATGAGTGTCCTGTCTTCATAGCCAGCCTTGAAACACTGGTGC